TTATTTATTTATTTATTCATTCATTCATTCATTCATTCATTCATTCATTCATTCATTCATTCATTCATTCATTCATTCATTCATTCTATTTATACCCCACCTATTTGGTCAAACGACCACTCTAGGCAGCTTCCAGACAAGTAAAATGTAATAACATATACATATAACAATATATATATATATATACAGAAACATTAAGCAATAAACATTAAACAATAAACATGAACAATAAAGAATAAACAATAGGCAAATTCTTCAAGATGGCAAAGATAACAAAGAATAGATAAAGAAAAAAAGATTAGATGTTGTCTGGAGGGAAGACCTGCTTAAATATCCACATTTTTAGATGGGTCTTAAAAATACCCAGCGACGGGGCCTCGCGAATCTCTGGAGGCAAGTTGTTCCAGAGGCGAGGAACATTTTATGTGCCTGGCACACAGCTGTTAAAACACACCAGAAATAAGACATAGCCCACTGAATAGTAATAACATGGGTTGAATACACAAGGAGTTAAACCCACAGAGAGTTAAACCCATACATTTAAGAGTTCAGCATGCAAAGCCCTGGATCTGGATGGATGAATCAATATCGGCTTCTCTTACAATTATATTTTCACCCTGAACTTCTTTCCATACTGAATACGAAGAAATTTATGAGTGTTTTGAATTGATCCAAAATGTTTACCCAACCCTACCTGTGGGCCACTTCAAAAGAAACAAACAAATAATGGCGCAGGGTACAGATTGCAGGAGATTGCAGATTGCAGGGGAGTAAAAGGGGAAATATTTATAAAAGAGAAGGCAAATTCCATGGAAGACGACCACATGACTGTGGTTGCGTATGTCTGTTTTCAAAAGGCCACTCGGAGGTCAGCAATGGACCACTGGCCTGCCCACAGCCTCCAAGGGTCCAAACATAGGCTCCCAAGAACCCTGCCTTCCCAATCCCCTTTTTCAAGTAAAAGAAATGTTCAAAAAGTCCACTTGTGCCCTTGGTAGGGCATGGGAGGCAATTTTGCTATTTGGAGGGGGGGCTGCACCTATAGGATTCCCCCCACCTCATTTTAAAAATTCAAAATGTCTTCTAGATGGCAAGAAGAGGTTGTTTTAGTTTCCTTTAAAAACAACCCCTTTAAAAGAAAAAAATTGGAGGGTGGGCAGGGTGGCTCTGCAGATAACACGAGAAAGTATGAGCATCTGAAATGGACAGGTTTGTCTGTTGTTTATCCCCTGGCACAGAGCAGGGCTTGTTCCCAGTCAGGCGGGCACATGAGCCCAACCTGAATGTACTTACTGTCATTGTTGGAGCCAGTTTCCATAACACCATAAGGAGGAACCAGCAGCCCTGACATGTATTGCCGGTATTTCTGGAAGGGAAACAGAACATCTCATTGATGGACATTATTTATGAGTTGTTTTCTCTACGTAGAAGTAAGACAATTAAAAAAAAACAATATCATTTATTCAGTTGTTAATATTGCATTAACTGTGCTTTCTTGGAGCTTCTCTCTTTGCTTCTTTGCTTTGCTTCTCCTTGCTCCAGACAGCGAATGGGTTTGACTTGTCTCATCCAGTTCTCATTAGCATCAACAACCAGAACTGGGAAGAATGCTGGCAAAAATCAATCATTCTCAATGAGATGGGGAGAAATCACTAGCCTCTGCAAGACTTCTCATATCCAACACGAGAATATGACAAGGAGCCAGGAGGATGGTGGTGGTCAAGGTTTCTATAACTGAAGTGCCTCTGTGTAAAATCAGTTCACCAACTGAATTAATGTGCTCCAATGTTAATACAAATCTACACATTACTACCAAGAGACTATGATTCCTATAACTAATGATCAAAAAAACATAACTCCATTTAAAATGGGTACATACACTTGTACTTGGAAAACACAGAATGATGCTACATTATTTTCCCCCTTCTTTGTTGGATGCTACAACAAAGAATTTATTTAGAATTTGTTTACTTCACATCATTTCTGCACCTTACTAGTGAGCCCTCCTCACCATATGTATCGCTCTGTCAAAGTCTAAAGTTGAGCTGGACTGAATAACAACCCTATTCTTGAAGCGTCACTCCAGTTTCTGTAGGTCCTTTACCTGGTGTCTTCATGTTTACAAAAAGGCCGAGCCATTTTTGTTAACAGCAATCGACAACATTTGAAAGAAAAGAAAAGAAAAAGCACTCTATGTTTGCTTTATTCGTTCTGTTTTTGCCAAAAAAAGGGAGCATGTACTATTCCCACTATGAACAATCTCTTTTTATGCGTGATTGGGTTACAACTGATTTCACCTCATTGATCCAAACTGCTGTTGTTACATGCTGTCAAGTTGCTTCCGACGTTGGGCAACCCCCAGAATCAACGGCATCCAAAAGGTCCCCTCAGGTCTTTCAAACTCAAGGCTGCACCAAACAAGCTGGGAGTCAGAAACAAGGTCTCCCTATCTTACAAGCTTATTCTTCCATTTTGTGTCTCCAAAGTCTTGCCTAGCTAGCAGTTACCTTTTCTTTGGTCTCCAGATTAAAATCATTTCATTTCATTTTGACTGCTTGGATTCCAAATCTGGACCACAGTCCACTCTGACTAATACTCTTCGCCATCTTTTCTTAGTCAGCCAGGTTAAGTATAGTATTCTCCATACGAAGAGCAGTTTTGACCCTGTCCATTTTTAAAAGGTCTCCCTGTTTCAGGGGTAGATAACCTTGAGGGTTTGGGGGGAGCACATCAGTTCCCGGAGACTCTAGAGGGCTACAGCAGTTATTTCCTCACAGTCTCACTCTCTCAGCCTTAAAGATGTTTTTTTATTTGGACCACAGCTGCATAGAACAGGCCTGGGGATGAAAATGAACCAGAAGGGCTAGTCATGCATCTAGAGCCCAAAACCAATTCCGTTAATGACATATTATTAACGAGTTTTATTGCCCATGCCAGGCCAGCAGACAGATGGAGAAAATACCCACTCCTTCTCCCTGGTTTAGTTTAGGCATCCTTCAGTCTCGAAAGACTATGATAACATATTCTGTATGGAGGACTTGGAACAGCGTCTAGTGTGGCTGAGGAGGCCGATTCGAGCATGACAGTCCCTTCCCCACTGAGGAGAAATCAAATCTGTTCCCTGTCCAGCTCCCTGATTTTGTTGCTTTTGTGACTTCCTCTTCGCCTTGGCCTGCTGGATAAGGGTCTCTTCAAATTGGGAGAGGCTGTGATGCAATGCCTGCCTCCAGGCTGAATGCTCAGCAGCTTCTTAGGGTGATATGAGAACAGAATAAACTATGTTACTGTTGAAATATAACTTAGTCACACCCTATTTCCAAATGGAACTAGTTAGCATGGCAGTTACTTATAACCTTTTACTTCTGAAATCTGTCCCTGCTCAAGAACGTCCTGCAGACATCAGGCTGGCTTTCAGGGGAAACAAGATCCTGGACAAGTTAGACCTCTGGTCTGATCCAGCACAGTTCTTTTAATGGTATATTCTTATGTTCTGACTAAGGGCATGAGCAAGTACCAGGGCAAATTCCTTTTCTAACAAGGACCTTGGCTGAAGCTCAGCCTATCCCTGGTCATGAAGTCTTCCAGCTGAGCCTTTCTCCAGGTGGGCCCTATCTATCTATCTATCTGTCAAAAGAAATTTTGGTTGGTCCCAATGAAAGCATTGTGTTTAAAAATTCTCTATATTTTGATTTAATGTATTGACAAGCTAACTTCGGTTGGATCTAAAAATATTTATAGTAATTTATGCTTTCTTACCATAATGCAGATGCAGTGATATGAAGCAGACCTGCCAATTACCTAGAGAGCACATTAATGCAAGATATTATCAAATGCAGCTCCCATCATGCTAGGCTGGACAACAATAATTTTCAGTCACTAGTAACATGTCTACAGTCTGCCATCCAGTTTTGTAAATCCAACACAACAATGGGTATTAAAGTGACCTATCTATAGCATCTTCATATGAGCTCTTTGAATCTTTCATAGTGCAATAGCTCAAAGATTAGACCCTGCTTGCCTCCAGAATAAACACTGTACATGACAGAATTGCTTTTGTAAAAGCTGCAGCTTTTAAAAAAAAGAACACCAAGTGTAATGTGCAAAGATACATTGGCAACCTAAATCATACCAATGTATCTGTGCTGTAAACATTAGAAGCTTACTAAAGAAGCAACTTGCTCTAAAACCAGATGTTGCAAATCCAGCAATGTCTGTGCAACATCAGGATCCATCTTTACACCTATCACATGCGGTATCACTGATCTGCTGATCTGAAATCTTGTTTCAGCACAGAACTTCAATGTAGTTTTGGCAAAAAAAAAAAACAACAACAACACCCATTGCATCAGAGCTTTTTAAAACATGGCTGGCTATTTTCAGCAAAAGTTGGCAACCTTTTGTGTTTGTGAAACCTCTAAGATGTTGATGGAGATGCTCTGAGAAATATGTGCATGCTTCAAAAAATGTATAGGTAACAGAAATCATCTACTGAATCCATTCCGAGATGCATCCTGTTCCCTTTGATAATGTAACACAAATTAATACTTGAGCTGCCTAGCTCCAGCCTAAAAGGAATCCATAATTTAACACAAATTAATACTTGAGCTGCCCAGCTCCAGCCTAAAAGGAATCCATAATTTTTGCACTTCATCCATGAGGTCACAGCAAGGCTTATGTCTGTGGGCTCCGCAATCTTCTCCTCAGCTTTTTCCTACAAGGAAGGGAGAATATGAACCATGCTGTGATCTTGCCTTATTCTCACTAACCCCCGTTGAAGGAACTCACAGCTCTCCGTGTTCAGACATTATGGGGACTGATTTTCTATTGAAAGCAAGAAATGAAAAACAATCCATCTTCTTTTGGGAGCAAAATGGGAGAAAGTGAGGACAAAGACTACATGTCTGCTCTTTCCTTTAGCTTCTTCACGTAGGAGGAGAAAGAGTGGCCCTCTGTTAGACTTAACTGAAGGGGACAGTGTTCTGTTTGAAGGGACTGTGAGAAAACAGTACAGTATCTGATGGACACGGAATTGTCATGATTACACATGCCAGGCCTTGAACAACACACCCTCCAATGATTCATCCGTGTATTAAACAAGGGCTTGCAAAAATAGATTCAGGCCATTCCAGACTTCAGCTTTTCTTTTTGGTTTTCTTCCACTGGGGACCACACAGCCCCAGAGGCAAAATTCTGTGGGGCTTTTCGAAAATTATCTTTGTTCGTAAGTGATGGCAAGAAGTCAAGATTGATCTCTTCCACACTGTGGAATGTGCAGGGATCACCCCCCATGCTAATCCAGTAGATCATGCGAAGACTTCTGGTTTTCATTCACTACAAATTTGAAGTTTTATTTTTAAAGGAACAGTTTCTGAATATATTTCTTGTAGATTCATGAACAAATTATTTTGAGATTTTTTAATAAATATACTCAGTTGGAAACTGGATCTGATTTTTGTTTTTTTTTAGCCTCATCTCAGAAACCAGACACAGAAACAGATACTCAGTGGTTAGAGCTGAAAAGGCATTAATATCGGAGAGATATGATTCAGGCAGACTTTTGTGTTATAATTTTAATCTGATTACTTAAACCTAAAAGACAAATGGCAAAACAATGCAATCTTAATTGACAGATAATGTGAGATTAGAAAAGTTTTGTGGTGTGCACTCAGATACTTTCAGTGGTTAAGGAATTTAACCTGCTACCAATGGATTATCTGTAATGTTTGTTTCTGCCGAGATTTGTCCTTATGTGTTGGTCTATTTCACAAAAATATTGGCCTTGATTTTAAGAAGAAGAAGAAAAGCTTTGGTAAAAAGGTCCATCCTTCTCTAAGCATATAAGCCTAGATTTTCTCATATAAGCTTTGGTTAAAAAGGTCCATCCTAAGCATATAAGCCTAGATTTTCTCATATCCAAGATTTATGGACTGCAGTTGAATGTTAAGAAGACAACAATCATGACTACAGAAGAACTATACAACTTTAGTGTCAACAATGGAGAAATTAAAATAGTTATTGTATACCATGGTTCAATCATCAATCCAAATGGAGACTGCAGCCAAGAAATCAGAAGAACAGTGAGACTAGGAAGGGTAGTAATGAAGGAATTAGAAAAGATCATCAACTGTAAGGATGTGTCGCTGGAGACCAAGACTAAGACTACTTGTAAGCCGCCTAGAATGGTCGCAAGACCAGATGGGCGAGATATAAATGAATGAATGAATGAATGAATGAATGAATGAATGAATGAATGAATGAATGAATGAATGAATGAATAAATAAATAAATAAATAAATAAATAAAATAAGACCATCCACACTCTTGCATTTTCGATCACCATGGATGGCCGTGAAAGCTGGACTGTGT